TATATAATACTTTGTAATATCATTTACAATTGAAGTTGATAGAGGGGAGAAAAAGGTTATGTAACACCCTGTATATAATATGAAAAGGAAAAACAAAAAACGTAATAGAAAAACTAGAATGACGCAATATGGAATAGATCATCATGAGATCATGATGATCAATGGAACATATACATATACGACAGGAAAAAAAACATATATATGTATATAATGCACTGGACATGACTTAGCGTCATAATGTGATATCTGTTGACGCAACAGCGGCGGATCCAGGACGTTTGAGTATGCTGGATCTCAGCTTCAGAGCATGGGGTCCAGATAATACTTATGGAGTGTGGTATTGAGCCCGAATGATGAATTTTATCAAAAAGTTTTTGCCATCAAACTTACCGGAAAAAATTGCTGTTTAATCCGAAACTACCTTAAACTTTTTGGCTTTAGTAATATTCCTTTTTTTAGAAATTAATCGTAATCTACGTTGAATTTCATTGATAAATTTAAAATTTTATCTAAAAATATTCATCCATTCAAGAGTTATATCGTTTTGAATTTTCGAGATATGCCACAAAAATTATCGCTAAAAATTTAAAACATTATAACTCTTGAATGGATGCATAGTTTCAGATAAAATTTGAAATCTATCGAGGAGATTCAACGTAGATTATGATTAAATTCTAAAAAACGGAGTACTACTAAAAGCAAAAACGTTTAAGGGGTGGCCAATAAAAAACAATTTTTTCCGGTAAGTTAGATCGCAAAACTTCTTTGATAAACTTTCATCATATTGGCCCAATACTATCCTCCATAAGTATTATCTGGATCCCATGCTCTGAAGCTGAGATCTGGCAAATCTAAACATCCTGGATCCTCCACGGCTCACCCGTTCAGAAAAAATAAATTTTCATTAAATGAAGTGTCTCAAGTTACGAACCTGGTGTCCGAAAAAATTTGACTCAAATTCTATTTTCCTGAGAACCAGCACTGAATCCTGACTATTTTTCACATTTTATTTTCTACGTTATCACAACTCATTTTTTCACGCATTGAATACCCCTCAGGTATCGAAAAAAGTTTTATCACCGTTCTATTAGAATTCTTTATAGTTTTGATATTTCTTAGTGCACTGATTAAAAATATTATTTTGTTTTCTAAAACTCGTCAGATAATAGGAAAAACCTGAAGTACTGTCAAAAGGTCCTTAAAAAAGATAGTTTTTGACTAAGACGCCCATAAAGATATAATTTACATTCATCAAAAATAGGCTGATTCTACCAAGAACTCTTTTTGTCTATCAGAATTTATAAGAACTTCTTAGATACTTGACTCTTCTTCTATCGATAAATGCCTAATACCACCACGGTGTGGTTATATTGTTACCAATAGTGATTTTTCAGTCTTACAAAGTTATAGTTTCTACGGGTATTCTAACGAGAGTTTTTAATCGACTACGTAATTCAATATTCTTTTTCTAATGAAACTGGTTTCAACGTAAAACTCGATGTTTTGTAAAGTACTTTCGCTCCAATACTACTCGTTGGACCCAATTTTTCCATTTTGAAATAATACTCAACAGTTTTCGGACAGAATAGCCTTGATTTGACTTCACAAAGATATTACAATTGGAATCAGTACAAAAATCTGAATCGATCTATGTGTGCTTGCGACTGTTTCTGCGACTTTTTTTCCATCATTCTTTACCCTTGGCCCTCTGGAACACGAGAACAAATAAATTCTAATCAAAACAAGTATTTTATTGATTATCCACGTATCTTTTGCCTTCAAACAACATTTCACAGGTTTGAAGCTTTCTTTCCATTATTTATACTGCTTTCTGAAAAATATTATTCTGTTACATGTACTTGTGGGTGTGGGTGGGTGAATTATAAGAAAGAAATTTTGAAATGGCATCACATGTCAGAAGTCTTCTTCAAGGTAACAAATATATGAAAATCTATAGGAATGGATTGCAGATTCAGGTTGTGGGTGTGATATCTATTGATCTACAAGAATGAACACCCACACCCATGTCTGTGAAGAATTTATAAAGAAGGTTTGCATTCGTCGCATAAAGCGCTAATCAATTGTTACATACTCATGTTCTGAATATGCGAAATGAAATCAATTTCACTTTAGAATCAATCAAAACTTGAGATTAAATCGTTTCTGCTTTCTTTCTTCTTGTCACATCTTCGAATAACTTATACATTTTTATACTTTCTGTATTAAATGATTCAAACGCATCATTCGATAAAATAATTGTTGAGTCTTCGAGTGGATCATTCAAAATAGTATTGCTCAAGAAGATATTGGATATCGAAACAGTAACTAACTTCACTATAACTAACTTCTGCGGATTTAACAAACTGCTATTGCTGTCAGATACGAGACTCTGCTCTTCTGAACTCGTCACGTATACCATCATTCACATTATTTTAGAACCAAAATTCATTCACACTCATCTGCTACACGTGCTTTTTGTTTATAATTATTAATAATTCCTATTTGCTATGCAGAAATTGTGAAAATTTTTGTCCCTTTGGAAGGCCTCAGACAGGACAGCCCGTGAAAGATTCCCATAGAGAGAACGCAATGGTCATGTATTCATCATCAGTCGCCCCGTTCGAGAAATATTAGATATTTTTTCGTCGAATATATGCTCTTTTTTAATTGACTTGGGCGAATTGGTAAACCGTATGCTCAATCTCTACCGGCAATTTCTGATGCATAGCGCTTTCTTTCAGAAAAGAGAATAATGGTGTGAAGGATTCTAGCAGGGTCAAGAATCCATAATAATTTTCAAATTTTTCATAAAACTTCATGAAAAGTCAATCATAACTGCGAAGTTCGGCGATGAGCCCGGATGTTAAATTACATAAGACTTTTAATATCAATTATTAATAAGTTTCAGTTTTTTACGAAACTTGGCATATGGCACACATTGGCATCGCACTGTATGTGGGTACTAAGCAGCAAAGATCGGTGATTCGCGGCCCACCCATGTAGACTAATGAGCTTTACATGTTAAGCCAAGCATTTGGGAAAATTTTTTCAAATATACATAGGTTTCTTTAACTAACATCAAAATTTGACCTCGGATTCGGATTCCTCATCTAACATTAGTGTTCAATCCAGTTTTGCTCAGAATCACTGGTTCAGTACACAATGTCACTTGTTTGATAATGTTGAATGTCTGTTAGCCGAACTGGCGGGGCCCTCTAAATCTCAAAACAAGCGGATGGAAGACAGAAAACAAAACTCATTTGCGTATTTTCTGCGATGCAACTATTTGTTTCAGGAAAAGGGAATATCTTTGTGTTGCAGATCATTTCTATCAGAAAAAGCAATTCTAATTGATGCCAGTAATTGCTGGTGGAGAAATCTTTCAGCGCAATCCGTATGGGATTAAAATGTGCAGCGGGATGTTCCTGTTCAACTCATAAGCGAGAGCACAAGTGATGTCGCTCATCGTTCATAGAAGATGAGCGAAACAAAATATCGAAACGTCTGTCACTGTCTGAAGGTAGACTGGGAAGCTTTCACTTTTCTTGCTATAAACTTCAACACTCATTTTCGGATCGTGTTTCACAATGCTAGTCCTTCAGAAGACCCGCATGAAAAGTGGTTTTCTCGTAATACGGGAAAGCCATTTTTCTAAAAACTAGATTTCTATTGGTTCTTGTCCCGCCAATGCCGTTTCGAAAAAATGGACATCAGTTTTGGATTGACCAACCTCAATTACCTATTGCCAAATGTTTTCACTATCATAGTCGGCTAGTGGCCAGAAATTACTACTACGGAATGGTATTTCCTAATTCGTTGAACAGATATACAAACACTTTACGTTGAAGACCGTTTGTTTGAGAAAATGGAGTAAAAGTCAAAATCGAACCTCAAATTCGAATTCTCCATCCACGATTCCCTTTGATTAATTTTTATGAAAAATATTAATAATTCTTAATAATTCATGATAAAATATTCCTGGAAACCAAAATCTAACCTCAGCTTGGGATTTTCCGCATCGAATTACTCCTGGGGAACCATTTTATCGAAAATTCAATTTCTATTGGTTCTTGTTGTGAGATCTTTATCCAACTATACTTTACTTTTTATCTATCTATCTATATTTCTGTATCTCTCATACAACAACGTAACGCTATATATAGAGTAATAATAAACAATGAACAAAGGAGGGAAATATCCATAAGACAACGTGAAAGAAAGAAGAACGAATGAGAAAGTGCCAACATATATGAAAGAAAGGGAAAGTCATTGGTGTATGACTAATAAAAGAGAAAAGAAGCAGAGCACAAGCTTATATGTATAATCTTATAAAAAAAAGAGGGAAAACCCTTATGACTGCATCTGAAGAAGATACAGGTCATAACACCTCCCCCTAACAATAAAGATGTGCGTCCCGCGCATCGGAAAAATAACAACTGATAATAGAAGATATAACAACAGATAATAATAAAAAATAACAATAGATAAGAAGTACTGAGAAACAAAATCAAGAAACAGCCATATTGAACGATAAACAATCGTTGTGGAAGGACGATGTTTTCTTGCAAGATTTGTGTTGCCACGCCACAATCTCTTCTTCACTCCATCGAAATTAATAGAATGTTAAACAGCTGATCTTGTGAGCCATTCTTGATATAGAATCTCGCGTTGCCACACCACGAGTTCGTTTGTCCATGTCGACGGAATAATTACGTATATCGTTGATATTGCCATACTTGATACTGTTGAGACGCTGCCACATCGTCGTCAACCACTGTTGCGTTCCGCAACCGGTTGAAGTTGACTTATGTGAGCCCACGTAGTTTTTCCAGTTTGACTGTCTTCGACCAAATAGTTTTGTTCACCTGCTTTCTTGATCACACGGTAAGGTCCTATCCATCGTTCGTCTAATTCGGTGCGATTAGCACATACCTTAAGAAACACTAAGTCACCAATAGAGTAAGAAATATCTTTGCGATGTTTGTCATATCGCTATTTTGTTAATTGTTGTTGACGACGTATGTTTTCTTGAGCTTGTTTGATAATTATTCGCCGTGTTTTTTGTAAATATTTGTAAAACTCGTCTGGTCCAGTTAAAGTCAGGCTCTTTGATGTAGGATCGAATGGGCTCTTCTGTTTTCGCCCAAAAGCAAGTTCATACGGGACAAAGCCAGTTGTAGCATGAATGCCGGTATTGTACGCATAAACCACTGATTGAAGATAATCGTCCCAATCATCTTTATTCTCATCGTAGTACTTTGCCAATTGTGTACAGAATGTGGCGTTAAATCGCTCGATCTGACCATTCGTTTGAGGATAGTACGAAGCTGAAAATACATGAGTAATATGCATTGTTATGGTAATAGTCTTTAGTAATGTATTGTTAAAATGTACACCATTGTCCGTGATGAGTCGTTCAGGTGCGCCATGTATCATAATGAATTCGTTCATAATGAATTCTGCAGCGACTTTGGCAGTATTATTTGGCATCGCTTTTGCTATTACATATTTGGATAAATTGTCCGTAAGTACTAGTACGTATCGGTTTCCTTGTGCTGATGGGCGGACTGGACCCCAAAATCCATATGTAGTATTTGAAATACATCCGTTGGTGGATCAAATGATTTAAGATGACCTGGAGTTTTACTGCGTAGGATGTTGAATTTCATACATTGTTGACAAGATGAGATGTAATGCTCAATTGATTTACGCATATTTGGCCACCAAAACCGAGTACGGATTTTATATAACGTGCGTTTTACTCCAAAATGCCCACTCATTGGATGATCATGAAATGCTTTCAGTACGGCGTGAATCATTGATGACGGTAAGTACGGAACTTTGTTCTTGGTACCATGCTTTCTCTTGGCCACAAGACGAAATAAAATTTTGTTGTAAAGAATAAAGTTGTCCTTTTTCTTTTGAGCATGAATATCTGCGATAATGAGTTGAATATCAATATCTTTATCTTGCTCAGTTTTGATATTTTCCAAAGCAAAATCTATCATTGGTGTGGATGCACGTAGAGGCAGTGGTGTGGTCGGATTTTGTTCTGGCATTCTTGGCAATGTTAGAGGACTCGAGACTGCCTGTTTTGTCATTGATCGAGTTATAGCAGAGAGCAACTGGTTGTGATTATTCATGTCAACTGTTTCATATCGAGTAAGATAATCAGGTCCAATATTGTCGATGCCCCGGCGGTATTTAATCTCTGTAATTTGTGGTATTAAATCTTGTAGAGATATGAGCCAATTATCTATTCTTTTGTTTCCGTAATTGTTTTTCTTATGCATGTTGACAAGTGGTTTGTGATCTGTTTCGATGGTGATATCGGAATCTCCAATGAAATTCCGCAATTCTGTGAGACACCAGTAAATTGCTAGAGCTTCCCGTTCTGTGGTTGAATATCGACTTTCAGTATTGTTCAGTAATCTTGATTTGTAGTAGCAAATCTTCAGACCATCAGATGTGTTTTGCTTGAGTACTCCAGCAATTCTTAGATCACTTGCATCTGTACATAAGATAAATGGTACTGATCGGTCAGGAAAGTTGAGGAACAGCGGTGCAGTTGTCAGTATTGATTTAAATTTGTCAAAAGCATCTTGCTGTGCTGGGCCCCAATGGAATTCGTGTTTTTTTGTTCGGGTCTTATTGGTGATCTTGTGTATCGGCGCGGCAATTTTTGCAAAATCACGAATAAATTTACGATAATAACCAACTTTACCGATAAATTTGTTGGCTTGTGAAAGAGTTCTTGGTGTGGCAATATCAAGAATTGCTTTAATTTTGTCTGATGATGGTTCAACTTTGTCACATGTAACGATGTGACTTAAGAATTCAATTTTCTCGACGGCAATTGAACACTTGCGCGGTGACACTTGAGAATTGGCTTTGTGGAGTGTTGAGATAACGTCGGCCACATGTTGTTTGTGCTGTTCAATTGTTTTTGAAAAGATGACAATATCATCTAAATAGACGACCACATAATCCCATCGTCCGTTTGCTAGTAACTCATTCATCACCCGCTGGAATGTAGGCGGAGCATTCATAAGTCCTTGGGCTAGCACTGTAAATTCATATAGACCATCTTGAGTAACTATAGCCGTCTTCTGGATATCTGATTCATCTATCGGAATCTGAAAATAACCAGATTTCAAGTCGAGTTTTGTGAAGTATCGATGGCCTGCAAGGCGGTGTAGAAGTTCTTCAGCCGATGGTTGTGGGTAAGAATCCTTCTTGGTAATTGCGTTGAGTCGGCGAAAGTCAACCAAAAATCGATAGGTACCATCTGGCTTCTTCTTTAACAAGACTGGGGATGACCACGGTGAGTGGGATGGTCGAAGGATGCCTTGATCGAGCAATTTTCCAACTTTCTCCTGTATTTCCTTTCTTTGTTGAATCGTTTTGTAATATGGTCGAACGCTTATGGGTAGATGATCGCCTGTATTAATGGTATGACGAATTTTTGTATTTGCTCTGGTCATCTTTGACGTATCAAATGCGCGTCCATTTTGTCGAAGAATATTAAGAAAATCATTACGGTGATGTTTGTGATCAACGAGTGTCACTAATTTTTGGAGAACATCGTCCAGTGATGATGCGTTGGGTGATTCGTGTTGTTCATTTGTTTGTATCGAATTTAGAAGTACGCTTTGTTCTGTCATGCTTGATGGATTCGGTGAGTTTAATATGTTGTACATCATTTCATCATTTGACTGATAATGTATTGATCCCAGTTGCGTATTAGCAGCCATTGTGTGGACGTATTTGTTAGAGTTATAAACGCACATATAAAATGAAAAATCTTTTATTTCAATAAGAGCATCAGGTACCTGAATATTTAATTTAGTACACTTTTTCGAGTCCGATGTAAATGAGACAAGAGTAGCAGAAGAAATAGGCACATGCATTTTGACAATGTATTCATGATATGGCAATAGTGTGATACATTCCGCGAGTCTAACCTCGACCGAGCCAACTTCAAAGAATGGTGTTGTTGTAGTTCCATGCTGTGAGTGATTGATCTCCATTTGTTTTTTACCAATATTCACGTTCACATAATTTGAGTTACACCAGTCCATGCCGAGAATTAAATTAGCACCTAATGATTCGACCACAAGAGCTGTAATGATGGTGGTAATATGATTGATGGTGACATTTAATTTGACTACACTATTAACCATTATTTTGGTTTGTCCAGCACCGAGAGTTGCCATTGTTTGAATCGGTTGAATTGTTATGTGTGGAATATGATTCAGTTCATATTGTGAGATGAGTGATGTAGTTGCTCCTGTATCAAGCATGGCGTGAATTGGTTTACCATTGACAAGTGTACTAATTGTTATAAGTGATGGTTGTGATTTTGAAAAGGAAATGCGACCATCACGCACTCCCCCTAGTAGGTTTTTGGACAATTGTATTGATAATGGTCCATAGCATCGCATGACCAACATCCACTGTAGTTTTTGTCGCGGTTGTATTGAATCTGAGTTGGATCAGGTGTTGGATAATGGGATTGATATTGTTGTGATGAATAATTGTGTTGTTGCCTTGGATTTGTAGAATATTGTTCACGTTGCATTACAGAATGTTGCATTGTTCTTGTTGATATATTTCTACGCTGATCAGACGATGTCATAATTTTCCGTTGGGATTTTTCTTCTTCTTGCCATTTGTCGTACTTGATAAGAGCTTCAAAAAACTCTTCAGTAGTACCAGGTTTCTTCAAATCCATGTGTAATTGAGCTGCTGGATTGAGTCCTTTGGTGAGATGTTTGAGTCGAGTTTCTTCATCCATTAGTTTATTAACTTTTGAACAGAGTTTAAGGATACTGTGACAATAATCAATTGCCAACTCGTTTGGTTGTCGTCGTCAATTGTAGAGCTTTTGTTCCAGTTGAAATTGATCACTACCAGTTACAAGTTTGAAGTAGGTTGTTAATTTGTTTTTTAGTGTTATCCAATCATCAATGGTATGCTTATGTGTGTCATACCATAGTTTTGCATTACCTGTGAGAAGATCAATAGCCACGGATAAATGTTGAACATCTTCTAGTTGGAGTTGATCACACTTATCGTCGAAATCTTCGATCCAATCTGAAACCTCTTGTGAATTGGATCCAGAAAATGGGATAGAATTAAGTAGTTGATCGATCCATTTCGATTGCAGTCGTTTGGAAGCTTGTTCCTTGAGGCTAAGTTCAACACTTTTCATCATAGATGGTGTTAGCTCTGAGACAGAAGTTGTTGTTGGTGCTAAAGATGGATTAGTTACTGGTATATTTGAATATGATATTTTGGTTCCTTGTAAAGCTTCAACTGCTTGAGAAAGATTATTAACTGTGATCTGTTGTGTTGCCATATCTTGTGTAAGCAAATTTTGTTTAGCCAATAGTTCTTGCAACAATGACACGATTTTGTGCTGTTGTTGATTAGCTTCTTGTTCTTCTCCATTTTTGTCTTGGTCATCTGTTTTGATTTTTCGTTCCGAATCAGTTAATGATAGAAATTCTTGTGTTTGTGCCATACTTCGAGTATGATGCTTTTTTTCGTCCATATATGACTCCGGGTCTCTTACTAGGTTGTTGAATTGTTAGTAAGATCGGCTAGTGCACCAATTGTGAGATCTTTATCCAACTATACTTTACTTTTTATCTATCTAACTATATTTCTGTATCTCTCATACAACAACGTAACGCTATATATAGAGTAATAATAAACAATGAACAAAGGAGGGAAATATCCATAAGACAACGTGAAAGAAAGAAGAACGAATGAGAAAGTGCCAACATATATGAAAGAAAGGGAAAGTCATTGGTGTATGACTAACAAAAGAGAAAAGAAGCAGAGCACAAGCTTATATGTATAATCTTATAAAAAAAGAGGGAAAACCCTTATGACTGCATCTGAAGAAGATACAGGTCATAACACTCGTTGTAAAAGCTCGGCTGTCATCGTTTCCTTACTCATCAATGGAATTTCGAGGCAAATGGACCTCAGAATGCTCGTAAGTCTCTGCTTCCTCTAATACTCAGTTTCAATTGATTCTTGTCCTAAGAGCTAAATTTCTGTTGGCTTCCGGTTCACCACCAGGATTTTGAGGTCAATGCACCTCAGATTCAGATTTTCCAACCTTCAATGCCTATGGTTACATTTTATCGTTGTCATGATCGGCTAATTTTCAGTTAACCCTGAATGCTGCTCTTTGATTGTGTACAACAAAAGAAAATGCAGACAGACAGGCAACCTACTTTTGATATTTTCTGCGAGGTAACCCTTCCTTTCAAAAAAAGGAAGCTCGCAGCTTTGGAAATTAGTCAATTTTTTAAGCTGGAATGTGTACTTTTTAATAAGATTTGCCTATCTTCTACAGAATACATTAGTGAATCGGTACAACGGTTTTAGGTTTTCAGCGAAAATTGCAACAAGGGTTCCCTACTATTTTTACCCGCACTCATGTTCTTTGTTTTTAAACCTATTGTACCAATTCAATAACATATTCCATTAAAGTTTGCGATGGGAGGAGGCGTGAAGCTATTGTGTATTTTCTCTCCATTTATATCCACACCCACACGCACATTGCAACCAGCAATGACTTAAACTCAATAGAAAAGGCTTGTTGGCGCAGCCACTTTGGGGCTGAGATGTGGAACTCACACATTTTGATATAAGCTAGAATACTCAACGACTTAAAAGCTAGTTGCTAGGGTCTATAATGAGACATGCGTTGCTATGGTTTGTAATGGAGAGAGGACCCACAAAACCTTCGGCTTAAAATTTACATTCACTATATTGTCGAAATTACATATATTTTGACAGATGTCACCTACCCAGGATATAGAGCATGCTGGGGAAGTGTCAGATGGTGCGAGAGAAATGTAAAGAGATGTGGGAGAAGTGCAGAGAGATATGAGAGGTATCACATATCCTCTGCCTCCCTCACACCCACTGAGAGAGTTACGCTATGTGTCCCTCCGTCTTCACCCCCACTAACGAGGGAACCTCCCCAGATGACACCCTCCGTTTGGGTTGATATTTTGCCTATAGGTAGGACTCATAATGTAGATAAGAGCCCTAAAAGGGTTCGTCTTCAGAGCCTGTTGTTGTTGAGATATTGCGTTTTTTAAGTATTAGGATGATTCACTGCCGTGGTCCTACTCAGGGATATCAAAAAAACTCATTTTCGAATTTCGACTTGAAACTTTGTATAGAGAGAGGTCTCAATGAGAGTGGTTTATTGTGAAACTTTCAGACCTATTCCTTGTTCTTATCCTAAGATACGGCAATGATAACCTAATGTCACTTGCAGAGGCAAGTTTTGGTCTTTTGATTTTGCGATTAGCAGCATTCAGCAAAGTTAAAAGTTTCCCAATAAACCACTCATTGAGACCTCTCTCTATACAAAGTTTCAAGTCGAAATTCGAAAATGAGTTTTTCTGATGTCCGGAGGGAGACCACGGCAGTGAGTTATCCCAATACCTTAAAAACGCAATATCTCAACAACAACAGGCTATGGGGACGAACCCTTTTAGGGCTCTTATCTACACTATGAGTTCTACCTATAGGCAAAATATCAGCCCAAACGGAGGGTATCACCTGGGGAGTTTCCCTCGTAAGAGAGATGCTGCACTTCCCGTTGGAAAAGCAGATGTCGCATCTTCCGTTGCATCTCCTGAATGCCTGATTTTTCGGATATATGACACTTAATATTTTGAAAGAAAAACACTGAGTGAAAGTTTTAAATCGAAGTTTTAATGTTCTTCTTACCCTCTTCCCCATTGCAGGTCGTAGCAACTAGCTTTACAACCGTTGAGTATTCTAACTTATATGAAATATGTGAGTCCCACATTTCAGTCCCAAGGGAGCTGTGCTAACAAGGTTTTCCTTCGAAAATATACCTGAGTTTCGCAAAATTTCAGTTTCCCTGAAAGCGATGAAAGTGCCAGCTTTAGTCGTACCATTTGCAATTTCCATATTTTTCGCTGAAAACATGATTTAGAAAATCTAGAATCGTGGCATTCTTAATCCATATCACTAGTTTTATCGAACAACGCAGTATTCATCGAAGTCTACTTGTCGTTATTCTTTTCCCAAAAACTATTGGATATCACTGTTGAAGTATATTGTGAAAAATATTTTGCGCTCGTTCCCCGACCTACTCTACATATCCGGACACACAGAATGTGTTTTTGGATTTGTGGATCCTGAAATTTATATTTCAAATAAATAAGTATTTATAATATAAATTAAGCTTTCTGATGGCTTAGCGAAGTGGGAGATATATTATGATACTACTGTGTTGACTCTCATACAACCCATTGTCTACACAGAGAGTCATTGTGTACAATTAAAGCGGCTCCATTGTGTTTCCTCTTTTAATCTGGTGGGGGTTTCTTTGCAATCTTTTGCATTTCGTGCATATTAGCTTCAGTAAAGTTTAATATACGTCTACCTTTTTGACAGTTATTTGCTCATCTCATTGAACAACTTCGTTTATGGTCATTGGATTCTTCTAAGAAACGAACATTTGAGCCATTACTGGATGTCGAAGAATATTTTTTCGATTTTGCCAAGAATCTTAATTTCGCTGAACACTTCATCAATGATCTTTGCTTCCATCGAAGCCAGGATTCCTTTGTGGACATCTACGGTGACGATCTTAAGGTCATAAACAACGGACGCGTGTGTCAGACCACGGGTGACAGTCGGTATGCCTCCTGCGCTCTTGGTCGTAGTACCTATACAAGTGGTGTACATCAATTTCATTTTATTGTTTTCTATGATATGGCATTCATAGGCATTCTCCCGGCAAATATAAAACCTGACCGTGCGTTCATGGGTTCCTACTTTGACACTTGTGGAACACATGGATGGTGGATTGATGATCACGTGTACGTGAATGGAAAACTGAAACAAAAGCAATGGACAAATGCTAAAGAGAATGTGATCTATGAACTAATTATCGACTGTGATCGACGACGATTAGGCATTCGGAATAACGAAATGGTTACATATGAATATATCGATGTAAATCACTCAGATGCCGCTTTTCCGTGGCGTCTTTTCGTCGGCGTCAGAGGGTTTAGAAATCGTCTACAACTTTTATAACCATGCCGATTTCACTTCGTATGTGCATCGACATCCAAAAGGAAGTATATCATCGGCTGCAGTTTTCTATGCTTATTCCAATAGATAATTGTTGCGAAATATCTTATTAGTTAGCTTCGATCTTTTCAGAGACTGGATGGGTGTGGGTGTGGGTGTAGATGAGGATGTGGGTGTGGGTGTAGATGAGGATGTGGGTGTGGGTGTAGATGAGGATGTGGGTGTGAGTCTGGGTGTGGGTGTAGGTGAGGATGTGGGTGTGGGTTTGGGCGTGGGGTGCGGGTGTGTGGATGTGGGTGTGGGTGTAGGTGCGGGTGTAGATAAATGAAAGAATACTACCCACAGCCACACACCCACACCCACCCTTAACAAGAAATCGCAATATCGACTATCACCACTCAATTAGCTACGACGAATCCATCAAATTCAGGTGACATTGGTAAGATTCCGGCATCTTCTTCAATCACTATTACAGCGAATGAGACAAAAAACAGCTCGACATCGCTTCAACTTTCGATGAGTGTCGTCTGCTTCGCTGTTCTTCTGATCTACTCTAATGTTCTGCACTGAATTCTGACATTTATGCTAAATTTTCCGTATGATCTCATTTGAAACATATTACCCTATCTAAATATGAAAATGAAAATAAAATGTGCAAATAAAATTTTAACAAATGTTTCCGAAAGAACTGATATCTTGTAAATGCTTAGGTAATATTACAACGACTGGTGTCTGCCATTATGCCTGCTTCATTCGAAGATCTATAGAACTCATTCTGTGACATTCTGTAATAAGCTTAATAGACCTCTATTCATCGATGAGATAATAGATAAAAAAATAAGTCGAAGGCAGTGGGTACTCATTTGGAAGCAATATTTCGAATATTTTACATAAGTAAACCCACAGTTGTTTTCATTTTTTAGAACAAGAAAATAAAAGTAATCATGCTGATATGTGACAATATGTCAACTGGGTTTGACAAATATAAACCACATCTGAGTTGTATCACATAAGAAGAAAAGAGCATGATTCCAAATTCATTACGTTTGAGGAAGGTTACATTCATAATTAAAGAATAGGGTGGGTGGG